GAAACTGAGAATCGAGATGGAGGAAAAAAAAAACGGCTCGATGGGAATTTGGCCTCGGAGTCGATGCTGAAGACGGAACTTCATTTCAGTGACACAGGCAGTTTTCCAGAGGTCAAAAAAATACTGAGGTTTGAACAAGTGTTGGATTTTCCACCCTCACTCCAATAACTGCTGACTATTCTGGGCTGACGCTCACGCGCCTTTGTCTGGAAATGGAAAAAAATCTGTCTGTTCTCAATCACATGAGTCCAGTGCTGATACTCAGAAGGTTCTGGAAGGAAGTTTGTTTCTTCTCACCTTGTTCTTCTCTAGTTTCTGTCTCTGCTTCTCCTCCAGCAGTGATCGACGTCTCTCGGCCTTCAGCCGCTGCTCCTCCAGTTTTCTCCTCCGCTGCTCCAGCTGACTCTCCCTCAGACGACGGGCCTTCTCCTCCTTCTCCAGCCACTGGGCTTTCTTTGCCGCTGGGAGGGGGGATGAGGTGGGGACGAGAAAGACACAGTGAGAGATGATTCAAAAAGTGTCACAAGTTAAATATTATTGCAGTGAATTTAAATTTCTAGATGTAAGAGATTAAAACAGGGGGCACTAACTTTTTTATACAAAAATATAGCCATAAATTAACAACCCAAAAAATATTAAAATGACATAAATGAGAAAAACAATATTGCCCAGAAAATACAGCAAAATATGTAAAAGTTTGTTAAGATCAGCTAGCTTAAATGAAGGACAAAAACATAGCTTAGCTTGTTGTTAGCCAAAAATGAACAAAAGCTAACACAAATACCTGGCACAGTGGCTTGGATAATGCAAAATATGTAAAAAAAAAAAAAAGTTAGATAAATAATAATGCTAGTTTATTAAACTAAAAAACAAAATAAAAATGTCAAATATATGTTAGTTAGCTGTTCACACACCAACCAATCAGTGAGCAGCATCCCTGCAGAACAACTACGATACAAATGGTACAAAGAGGCGTAAAGTCAAACATAACCACCGAGGAAAACATTAAATAAATATTGACTTTTTGACCACATTTCTCTCCTCAAAGCTAATTAGTAAATAATCACTGAAACCTCTCCACCACACAGAGCCGAACAGATGGAAGCCTGTTAGCATGTAACGCTGTCGTTTTCTGCTAACAGTAAACAAGCAGAAGTTTCCAACTGTGTCTTTACAGCAGCCTCCAGCAGATCAGAGTCTGAGTCTGAGTCTCGGCTCATTTCTCCTCACAAACAATTAAACAACCATCATTCACATTAAACTGCCGTGGTGACGACTCGGATCAGATTTCATTTTCACCAGCTTCATTCCACAACGTCGGTGCGTTCTCTCTTTGGGTTTAAACTGCGGGAGGCTGAGCGCCGAGGACGACACGAGGGGATTAAACCGACTACAATGGAATGAAAAAGTCTTAGCGTCATCTGCTGTGAGTTAGGCAGCATTAGAGGAACACGGCCGTGGAATAGAGCCGTTCTGCCAGGATGTGAGAGCAGACTTTTGTATTTTAGGCCAGTATTCTGCAGCTTAGCTTCACTAATGAGCCACAGAGCAGCGCCACAACAGCGTGAGCCTGCGTTTGCCGTCACTCCTCCCTGAATCCAATACCTCTGGAATAATTCAATTATGGCCGACAGACTGAAGAATGAGACTCCACACTCTCTATTGTGTGTGTTTTTTTTTACCTCGTGGAGACACTGAATACTTGTGTGTGCAAAGCTGCCGTTGCATAAGGGTGGGATTGAATTCTTCACAGTACGATCTGATTTATTGGCCGTTTAAAGGATGAACATGCAGTTATTACAGGCACTAAAAGTAGACGTGGTACAGCCTGTACTGCTGTTCCAAATATTTAATAACTACTTGTCCGTATGTCTCTTAATAGGTATTTTTACACAGCAAAAAACTGTAAAACTGCCTCTCCTTTTTGTATCCAAATGCTAATAACAGCAAAAATGTGCAGACTTATTATTTTTTGTAAATAACCTGACAGTAAAGGGCATTGTTTTTGCAGAAAGAAACAAACAAAAAGAATCAAAGAAAAGGTCAGAAAGGTCAAAGGGCAAAAACCTGGCAATGAGCATCTATTTTTGGGGAAATAATCATAAAAAGATTAGGGGATAAAATAAGGTGAAAAACGATAAATAAAGTTGGAAAAAAACAGGCTAATAGCAAAAGTAAATTAGCGAATAGATTGTGAGGAAATAAAAATTAGAGCAAAAAGAAGCAAAAACAGCAGTGAACAAGACAAAATAATTACATGGAAAGAAATGGAAGAAAAAAGTGCAAAAATGAAAAAAAAAGTATGTTGGTGAAGACAGACACTTGAATCCACTTTTAACGCTCAAATATTTCAGCCTTGTTCAGGAAGAATGCTAAACTTTAAAGGTTTTTCAAGTGGTCGTCACCATTTCCTGACTTCACTCTCTTGATTCTCTGGATTGGATAAAACTACGCTGCAGCGTGTAATCGACCATTACAGTCAACTGTATCAAACTGATCTCAGAGCAGCTGAGGCTAAAGCTAGCCTCGGGTGTCGTCTGTGGAAGGAGCAGCAGATTCACATCCAGCTGCAGCCGTGGCTGTAGCATGACTGCATTAGCCTCGCTAATGAAGGCAGTAATTAACGCTAATCTGTCTGAAAGTCCTGCTCTCACGTCACGCTAACGACGCCCTCATTTTCATGCTCTGGGGGACGTCTCTGGGGGACGTCTCTGGGGGACGTCTCTGCAGGAAAACGTCCACTAAGATCAACTTCCTGGCAGTCGTCCCACAGAGAGAATCCTGAACTTTGTTTCTGGAAACTACAGAAAAAGTCTTTTATGACTTTGGGCTACAACAATATTTTCACAAGATGGCGCATTTTACTGCAGCCATTAAGTAGAAACCATGATTACAGGTTTGGGATTTGGAGGAGATTTAACGTAAAAATGATGTTAATCTTGAGCTGAGCAGAAAAGTGGAATAAATGAAGGTTCATGGAGTTCAGGGGTTTAGCAGAAAAGTGGAATAAATGAAGGTTCGTGGAGTTCAGGGGTTTTGAAGGATGCGTGAAAGAGAAGTGATACAGACGTCAGCTAGGTTCTTCACAGACATCTTGGGTGGTTTTAGACCCTCGGTGGGCTTTACCGACTCTATCGAGTTAGGAAAGTCTGGATCATCTGATCATCTTCTCCTGAATTTGCCAGATTATAAACCAGGTAAACATGGCCGTTTATCAGACCTCGGGAGTTACAAGATGCTAACAAATGCTAACAATCCTCTGTGGTCTTCATAACTGCTGCTGATTTTCAAATGTGTTACTTCATTTCATTTGTTAAAACAATAATACACATATATTAATGAAGGATTAATGGAGGATCACATGACAAATGGTTTTGGCTGCAGGGGAATGAGAAGCTGTGGGATGGTCCCTCAGTGACGTGACCTTGTCCAAACGGAGCCCTCTTACCTTGCAGCTGAGTTTGCTGTTCTGAGAGCCATGCAAGGAGAAACAATGACAGACGTCAATAACGTACAGTCAGGTCAGAGAGAGAGACACACACAGACAGAGAGAGAGGCAGAGAGAGAGAGAGGGGGAGCTGACACAGAGTTAAACACAGTAGAGTAGACGTTAGTATCAGTTCAAACATGCAGGTTGTCAATAGTGTTAGAAATACAAAGACACTCAGATCACTGCGTGGGCATCTCTCACCGATATATCTGGCTCGCTCCTCTCTCCGCTCCTTGGCCAGTTTCTGTCGCTGTTCTGAGCTCATGGAATCTGGAAAAACAAAAAATAAAACACATACAGAGATTTGAGCTACGAATAAAAAGCAGTTCCTGCTCCAGACGTTTTCTCCAAAATAAGA